CGGGATCAACTTCATCAACAACCCGAATACATGCCGCTGTCACTTGCAACAACGCTTCAAAGCAAACACCAAACACCTCTGGAAGCAGGCTGCCAAAAGCAGACTGGCCGCAGAGTGACATGTAAGAGCGAAGCTCAAAGAAGCATTCAAACTCAGTCTTTCTCTTTCCTACTTGTTTGCTCCGGTACCGTCAGCTGCCAACCAATCTGGGCCGGACACCTTTCCACAATGAACCCGTGTCGCAGACTGCACTTTCGAAGCACATGGGCACAGTGCCCAATGGGTTTTGGAGACAACAGCTAAAGTACAGTTCAGAAGCGTCACCTCCAATAGCACAAACGAGCCAACAGCAAGGGATCACAAGGTTGGCAAGTCCACCACTAAAAAGGCCTTTGAGCAAACATACCCCAACGCCATGCGCGCCACTCAATCTGAAGCAGTCTGGGCTTCCGGTATTTCCCCTTCAGCATGACCCCGCCAAGAGGAAACTCATCCAACATCCGTCAAACAATTGATGGCTCAACCGGCTTTCAAAGGAGAATACAGGGACCCTGGAATCATCAGAGCTAAGCGGCCGCTCTGATTGGCCGCTGCCTTCTCAAAAAGGTCCCAGCGAACTGAGTCTGCTGCTGCAGGATGAGAGGCCTTGCAGCCGCGTCACTCCAGAGTATCGAGTATCCGAAAAACACAGAAACAACTTGTGGTTGGTTCCTTTTGGTTGCTTCCCTGTCAATTCTATCCAAAAGGTCGCCAATCTGTGCACATCCTTCATGCGCGCCTGCCCTTGGGCAATTGAAGACCCAACAGCGTCGCGCAAGACCTTTGGACATTGGCTGGTCCTGGTTCTGGTCTTTTGCAGCCAGGTTCACAAGCTGGGATTGGCACGCTTGAAGTTTACGTGCCATTTCAAGGCGTTGACCTCTGCACGCACATACCTGGACCTGGCCTCAAAGGCCTTCAAACAAATATCGCATGTCCTCCGTGAGGGTCTGAGACTCCCCGAGCGCCCTTTCTCGCTGGTGCAAGGTCACAGCCCGGGTACACCATGCGCAATGCAGGATGTGTCGGATGGTGCAGTTGCTGGAGAGTGGATGTAGCAGCCAGAGCCACTGGCTGCAGCCGAATGGCGAGCGATAGTTGCCTATCGGGCCACGCCTTGAGCAAAGGAAAAGAAATGCAAAGTAGACGGAAATGGAAACGGAGTTGATCAAAATGGAAAGGGAATGGACAAACAACGGGGAGGGAATAGACAGTTCAAAGCGGCGATTTGTTTTTCTTCCTTTGACATTATGTCCCTTTCTTTTTCATGTCCTTCCCGTTTCTTTGCTTTCGACTTCTCACAGTTCGACTTTTCCCAGATTTCCCACTTTGGACTTTCCCCACTTGTTGATATTTGTGTTTTTTCCAACTTCTCGACTTTCCGCGTGCGCCTCCGCTAAGGCAAGAACACACACACACACAGCTCGCGAACTGTTTTCCATTCAAAGGCGTCTGCACGCAAATACCTGGCCTCAAAGGCCGTCAAACAAACCCGCATGTCCTCCATCAGGGTCTCTTGAAAGATCCAGCAATGCCTTGGTGTTGCCAACGGTCGGCATGCGATGTGAAGTGCCTAAATCTCTTGTCAAGTTGTCATAGGTCAGAGTGTTGCACGTGGCTTCCCCTGCACATGTTGCCAATGTTACGCTTGCAGTTTTAGGGGGGGTTGCGTGGCGAGCCCTGAAATAGTAAAACACCTGCAAATACGGGGTGAGACACCTGAGCCTAGTTGCGCCAGGGACTGAGGATTCATGACGGCCATGTCCTGTTGCGCCCGGTGGCTGCTGTTGCAGTGCTCTCCTTCCTTTGGATTGAGGCCCTCCTTCACTTTCCGGTGCCAGCCCCTTGGTTACAAACAGTGGCAACGCAGTTCGGCTTGCAGTACTTCAACTGGGACCACTGTACTTCCTTGCAGCTGCCTGGTGGGAACAAGCGATGGCAAATGGCAGGTTCAGCAGCTGAAAGGTGAAATGGCTCAAACAGGCAAAGAGCACGGGCTTGAGTCTGTTGCAACAAGTTGCAACAGCACCTAAATTAACGTTCAAAATCAATACTGGAGTCTGAGATTCCGAGTAGGCACATTCAGCCCAAAAAGTGGCGAGAGATCTGGGAAGTACGACCCGACCGTTTGCCTCGAGACGAGTCGCCAACACTTCGGGCAGACCATGGACTGCCAAAGGTAGAAGCTGATCACCCCAAGGCCCTCAGGGGATCGGGCGTTCAGCATCCAATTCCTCAGGGAATCACAATAATGCGCAAACCCAAGGTTAAAAAAAAAAAACGTTCAATCATGTGAGGTCAACGCGCCATTCCTCACGCACGGCAAAAACAAAACAAAAAAACGGCGTGTTCTGCGCGTCGATGCGGACCCCGCCTGAGCTCTGTGTCTGTGGTGTGGCGCTCCAAGTAGCCCATGGGCCCCAAGGGGTTGGCGGCAAAGGTGGGGCGCCCAAAGTCCCAAGCCTGCGACACGCCGCGCTTTGGAATCCCTCTCAAGGACCCGTCAAGGACCCGTCACTAAAACCTTCGGAAGTGCCATGCAATCTCCAACACACCAATCCAGGCATACTTCAGCCAGCGCAGTTCATGTGGAAATCAGGGTCGTTCTGCATGCTTCCGGGGCCTTGGTCGGGCACTCGTTGGCCCAAGCCACATTCCAGGCGCAGGGATTCCGCATCAGCACAGCTACAAAGTTCTTTTTCTTGTCGTTCGGGAAAAGCCTCAAACCAGCAAGCTCCAGGGCTGAACGACGGCTTCGAGCAAAAGCACTTCTGGCTGGCAAAGATCTAAACCCGATGTTGGACGTTTGTATTGCTGAGCATTTAACAGGCTGCCAAGGTGATCTCTGAACATGACCCCGTTGCTAGTCGAAGCAAATTTGACAATAGCTCAATTGATTGCAACGCTTGTCACCTCACCCGATGCTCCAGCGTGCACTTTTGCCGATATCCTATAATAGGCATCTAACAGCTGCAGCTTGTAGCGAGGCATGCCGAGGCATACCAAGGCATGCTGAGGCAACACAAGGGGAAAACTTCCATGCATCACCAAAACGCCTGTGCCAAGCGGCGCGTTGTCATCGTCAATAATCTTCCACAGCGCCTTCTTCGACGGATTGAACTTAAAGACTGCCTTCAAGAGCGTGCGCGAGAAGGTCCCGCCTGCCTTGATTGAGGCTCAAGGGAATCGGGGATTGGATTGGGGCCATGCTCGCCACAATGGAGAAACACGCCTCCAGGGGAGGAATGGAACAAAGGATGGCAGGAGCGGTGCGAGAAGTCTCTTTGACTCTCCCAGCCAGGTGAGGCTTTTGTTATTATTATAAAAGCAACGGGATGAAAAATAAAATCCGTGCTGGTGAATATCAGTATACTACGACAGCGTTCACATCCTGCTTCCAAAAAACGCTGCCTCTATATAATAGGACTCTTTAATTGGACTGCGTGCCTTGCTGTTGTGCTTCAGAACGAAGGTGGGCATCGCCTGGAAGCGCACTTCCGGCTGCACGTTGCGCGGCACCTTGCCGGACTGCATCGCGCTCTGCAGCAGCAGAAGCGCCAGGCCCGTGCATGCACCCAGGAGCCAAGGCAACCAACGCCAAGCCATGGCGGCAGGCCGGCATTTGCCAGCAGGGGAACACTCTCAAAGAACACATTGGCTGCGAATGACGACCTTGCTGCCGGCATCTGCAGGTCAAGAGATGGGTATCGCCTCGCCTCAGCAAATGTGTTTCCTCTGGTCAGAACCGTGGTTGCCTTCGCATTTTCAGAGCAACACCTGCGGCGTGTACAATCACGTAAATTTGTTGTATCATCATCAAAACTCAATATCCTCGCTTGCGCAAACATTTCTGCGGGGCCAAGGCTTCCTTCCGCGGTACATGTGTTTCTTCTTTTCCTTCCGGGTCGACATTTAATTTGGGATTTTTGTTTGTTTTATTTTGGGATTTTTTGTTTCCGTCCTGGCCACTAAAATGCTGTAAGTTACAGCATTTTCTCGCGAAATGTACGTATTTTACGCGTCCGTCAACATCATCAGCATCGTTTTCAACATCCCCCGCATGTCCAGCCAACATCGCCAGCATCACCAGCAAATTGGCTTCCCGCATCTCATGGTAAAAGTGAGGATTCAATTAACGGCGCAGCCCCTTGGGGGGGGCGGCAGCCCCCCCATGATGATAGAAAAAATTAGGGGCAAAGAATCAACGGTCGCATGATGATCGAAAAAGTGATTATTCAATTAGGGGCAAAAAGTCCAAAAATAGCCGGGGGGTTGGGGGGGGCGGCAGCCCGCCCCATGATGATTGAAAAAGCGATGATTCAATTAAAGGCGCGGGGGGGTTGGGGCGGCAGCCCCCCCATGATGATCGAAAAAGTAATGATTCAATCAGGGGCAAAAAGTCTAAAAAATAGTGGGGGGGTTGGGGGGGGCGGCAGCCCCCCCCATGATGATCGAACAATTAGGGGCAAAGAATCTAAAAAGTAGCGGTCGCATGATGATCGAAAAAGTGATGATTCAAATAGGGCAAAAAGTCCAAAAATAGCGGGGGGGTTGGGGGGGGCCGGCAGCCCCCCCCACGATGATTGAAAAAGTGATGATTCAATTAGGGCCAAAAAAATATAAAAAAGCAGCGGGGGGGTCATCAGTTCCTCTGCGGCAAGGCCTCATGGTACAAGTGAGGATTCAATCACGGGCAAACTAATCCCTGTAAAACACCTAAAACGTAGCGGGGGTGGGGGGGCGGCAATTCCCCCAATGATGATTGAAAAAGTGATGATTCAATTAAAGGCGCGGGGGGGTTGGGGGGGGGGGGGGCGGCAGCCCCCCCATGATGATCGAAAAAGTGATGATTCAATCAGGGGCAAAAAGTCGGGGGGGATGATGATTGAAAAAAGTGATGATTCAATGGGCCAAAAAAATACAAAACAAAAAGCAGCGGGGGGGGGGCATCAGTGCCTCTGCGCCAAGGCCTCATGGTACAAGTGAGGGTGCAAATACGGGCAAACTAATCCCTGCAGATCGAAAAAGTGATGATTCATTCAGGGGCAAAAAGTCTAAAAAATAGCGGGGGGGTTGGGGGGGGGCGGCAGCCCCCCCATGATGATCGAAAAAGTGATGATTCAATCAGGGGCAAAAAGTCTAAAAAATAGTGGGGGGGTTGGGGGGGGCGGCAGCCCCCCCATGATGATCGAACAATTACGGGCAAAGAATCTAAAAAGTAGCGGTCGCATAGGGGCAACAAGTCCAAAAAATAGCGGCAGCCCCCCCACGATGATTGAAAAAGTGATGATTCAATTAGGGCCAAAAATATATATTAAAAAAAAGCAGCGGGGGGTTCATCAGTTCCTCTGCGGCAAGGCCTCATGGTACAAGTGAGGATTCAATCACGGGCAAACTAATCCCTGTAAAACACCTAAAACGTAGCGGGGGTGGGGGGGCGGCAATTCCCCCCATGATGATTGAAAAAGTGATGATTCAATTAAAGGCGCGGGGGGGTTGGGGGGGGCGGCAGCCCCCCCATGATGATTGAAAAAGTGATGATTCAATTAGGGCCAAAAATATAAAAAAGCAGCGGGGGGGTCATCAGTTCCTCTGCGGCAAGGCCTCATAATCCCTGTAAGACACCTAAAACGTAGCGGGGGTGGGGGGGCGGCAATTCCCCCAATGATGCTTGAAAAAGTGATGATTCAATTAAAGGCGCGGGGGGGTTGGGGGGGGGCGGCAGCCCCCCCATGATGATCGAAAAAGTGATGATTCAATTGGGGCCAAAAAAATATAAAAAAGCAGCGGGGGGGTCATCAGTTCCTTTGCGGCAAGGCCTCATGGTACAAGTGAGGATTCAATCACGGGCAAACCAATCCCTGTAAAATGGCAGCCAAAGAATCTAAAAAGCAGCTGTCGCATAAGTGATGATTCAATTAGGCGTGTATTTTAACGGGGGGCACCAGAGAGGAACTTGCGATGCTGAGGATGCAGGAAGCCAAGGCCACAAACCAACTGGGAAAGCAGAGGATGCAAAAAGCCAAAGCCAGAAAGCCGCCAAAAGCCACAAAGCCAAAAAGCCAGCGGAAGTGGCAATGCAGAGGATGCGAAAGAGAGGAACTGTGAATGCAGAGGATGCGAAATGAAAAGCCACAAAAGCCACAAAAACCCACGTAAAAGCCACAAAGCCAAAAAGCCGAAAAGCCGCCCACCCTGAAAAACAAAAATAATTCCTAAAAAAAAACGAAAAAAATCCAAAAAAAAATGGCCCTCCCTTCCTTCCTCTTCCTTCCTCTTCCCCCTCCGTGGATTGCGTTTCAAGCTTTGCTCCCACGAGTGCTGGCGCGCCAAAGTGAATGCAAAACGGGCTGCCTCAAGCCTTCCGGCAGCTCACTCCCGCCTGGCAGAAGCAGCAGAACTGCTCCGCGCCGAGCGCTCGGGCGCGCCATAGCGGCGAAGTCCCGCCAGCCCAAGGGTTTTGATTCCAAAGCCCTGTGCTGCTTGACCCATGCGACCTGATCTGACTGGACCCGCCTCCGGACACAGAATGATGCTGCCCCTTCATCACGCTGCGAGTCGGCCTTTCGAAGGCAAGCGGGGCACAAGCCCAGGCAAAGACGCGGAAACAGCCAACATCCGACTTGCAAAGCAGCTCAATTGAAGCACCTGACGTTCAAAATGGCCATCTTCTACCAGAAACCTTGCGCCAAACCAAGGGACTCCATGAGAAGGGTCAATCCCTCAAGGCAGCTTCGACGCGAGACGATCGGCATGCTTAACGTGCGCTGCATGTGAAGGGAACAAATGAAAGCCAACAAACAGGGCGAAAAAGTCCCCTACACAAGGGGGATATTGAGAACTAAAGCGAAAAGTCGTTGTATTTCTTTGGGAGCCGAGTCCCTAGTTTAGACACACATCCAATCACATCCACTGTGACCTTCTGCGCATGTGTCTTGCACTGGCCTTTCTCCGTGGCCATGTATGCCTTCGGGCCTATGACAATGCACCATTGTGCGATGAGATGCCCTGTATCTTCGTGCTACCCACTATGAGGCTATGAGGTCAGTCCCATTAACGCCTGAACAATCCCACCTGAAATGCAAGTGCCATGACGCCAGAATCCGTGTTTTGTCACCTTGAAAAGGAGCCGTCGACACAACCACCCTGCCCGGCGAGTTCTCTGGCCCAAAGCCCGCCTTTCCATTTGTCTACCTGGCAATACATCCCAGCAGCTCCCGCCCCTGTTGGCCCGGAAAGCTCTGTTGAGGCGGTTAACAATTCTGTTCCCTCTCAGAAGCCTCGGTGCGCAATATTCGGAACACTTCACTTTCGTAGCAACAACTATGCGAAACTCCGGCATAGCCATAAACTTGCATCATACACATGCGGTCTCTGAATAATACATAGCTGCAAATACATACTCGTATTCAACGATACCTCTGCTGCAGAGTTTGCCCAGAGCCAACCCTTGATGAATGCAGTTTTCCTTGAGCTGCGGCCCTGGGGATCTAACATGCATCATTGGATTGGCCTTGATGCCTCACCCTGGTGATACTACTCCTCACTGCAACACCTTGCGCGACTTGCTAGCGAAACCTGGCCCCGCAGAAATTGCCATACCTCCTCACTCTGTGCCGTGCCAACCTATCCCTGACTAGATTTGGCTGCATCTGCCTTACTCGCGTATCTACCTTCGCTGTATGCATGGCGTCATTGATATTGGTTCTTAGGCAGGTACGTAAGCAAACTGGCTCAAACCCGACTTGCTCAGGATTGTGGAACTATGGCTTCTTGAGAACCTCGGCGTTCAAATGTCTTGGACGTTTTGCAGATGGCACATGTTACATGAAAGTCAAGCCAAGCAAAGGGCACGGCGAAATCATAGCAACACCTTCTTGTTCCAAACAGAATGAAAATTGCCAGCAAGCTAGCTACAGCGAGTCAGGTACAATGGCTTGCCATCTGTATTTTGTGCCCAGAGCGGGCATATGCTTTGCCTGCACCTGCCACCAGCCTCAAAACCTTCCAATTGCGCGCAAATTCGAAGCGTCATCTCTTTTGAAGTCTGGCTTCAACGAGATCGCACTCGCAAAGCCAACGTGGATTGAGGCAGCTGTCGGCCGACAGCGCCCAGAGTATGAATACAAGGCTTCGGCATAGAGACATGCAACTCAACAGTAGTTCGAGGCAATTCCGGCCATGACATCTTGAATTTGCAGCAGCACATGCTTCCGTTATTCTTTAGTCTCCAGTCTGGATGTGCCCTCTCGCCCAAGAACAAGACATGGATCCACAACAGGTAAAGTCATTTGTGGTGAACAATCGTCTCTGGTAGAATGGAAGCCTCACGAATTTCAAGTCTCTTGAAGCCGGGGTAGCGCAGGTGGCTTGTCACACAGCCAGGTGAGAAACTCCTTGGCCACAGCAAGCATCTCAGGTCCTTTTCAAAGGAAGCGGTTAAAGCCAAACCCTGGAAAGCTTCAGCAACAAAAGGTGTGGGTGCCCCTTCAATCCGCTCACAACCTAAGACCAAATGGCTACCGGTGTCACACACACACACACACACTACAACCATTCTACCGTAATGTTAGATAGCGATTAATAAAAGGGGAGTGAATACTGAAAAAAAATATTCACTCTCCTGAAAAGCAAAAAGGGTAGGTATTACAGAAACAAATCTGCCCGAAATCCCGATAATATGTTCCCTTCCAAGAATGGACTATTTTTGAGGGTTGAAACGTTTGAGCCCAGTCAGAAATGCCCAGAATCTCTGGATTGCTTCCTGTCCCAAACCACCAAATTCCTTATCAATCCCTTTACTAGAAAATGCACCCTGACAAATTTTCAAGGGGGTGGCACACGGAACCCCCACAAAGGCAACAATGCAGTTTGTTTAAGGGTAGGGAATTGTGAAAACAAATTAGCCAGGGCAGCCTGCCAAGAAGAAGAACCAAGACTAAACCAATTCTAAACTGTAGTGAGTCAACTGAAAAGAATACTGAACTAATACTAAACCAATTCTAAACCGTAGTGAGCCAGCTCAAAGGAATACTAAACCAATACTAAACCAATTCTAAACCGTAGTGAGCCAGCTCAAAGGAATACTAAACCAATACTAAACCAATTCTAAACAATACATACTGGAAAACTACTCAGGCAGGTCCCAGTCTGACCCCCATTTTGTTTTTAATATTATCCCCCCCAATTCGTTTGAGGGGGGGGGGGGAGGAGGGGGAGCCCCCTTATTAATCACTCTCCAACATTAGGACAAGCCATCTAACCCGTGCCCCTGCACTTGGCGCGTTGCCCAAGAGCACCATTGGGGAGAGGCACAAAGCTGGCACAGTCATACATTGCGAGTTTGCTCAGTTTAAGTGATGGATATCTGGGAAAGTTGGCTGTGAGTCCAACCCCCGTGTGCGCATGAAGCTTGGGTTTCCATACCGCCCGCACTGGCTCCAAGAGAGGCACTGTCTCACCTGGCTCTCCCGGGCCCAACATGTGCCAAAGAGCCTAGCTAAGTTGCAAATGACTCAAGCTGATGCAGGGTTGCACGAAGGTACAATCATCCTGCCTGAGGCTCCAACGTGCGCAAATTGAAGGCTTCTTTTTGGCTGTGCTTAGAACTATCCATGCACTCACCATGAATCAGTTCCTTTTTGGGAGTGGACCCTCGAGTGGACTGAAATTCGAGGCAGGCCTGAGTAACCGGAGCGTGGCATCAGCACGCCAAGCGACAGCAATCAGATCGGATGCCGCTGATGCTTGTGACCCTGTTGCCCCGCTCTATACACATCATCCAGCGCATGTGAGGTGAATGAGGATGATGCGGCTCAATGCTCGCACAACTGATTCGACATGCCGAAGCCTTTGCCACAAATTTGTATTGGCCTGGGAAGCCCCTGGGAAAGATTTATCATTCGCAAATCAGATGTTGCATCCCTGGCTTTGGGCAAATGCCAAAGCACAAAATCAACACACCAAACTGCTGCAATTGATTCGATGACGAACCAGGCAAAATCATCAATTCTCGAGCAGCATCTCTTTATCCACTCTGGGTTCCCTTACTCCCAGCGCTAGTAAATCCCTGGTTGACCAATAAGATCCAACAAGTGAGTACAAAGTATGGATTTTTTTTGAACCGGCCTTGATACGTCCATGTCACTAGCGACGAGAAGGCGGCGATTCCTTACCTACCGCGTGGCCGCTCCGGTTGCCGTCCGGCATTGCCCCGTTCCCGCGAAGCTGACCTCCCAAACGGGAGGTACCTCCAATTCGTCGAGGTGAAACGCTGAAACGCAGCGCCGAATGGACCGGACCAAACTCCGAAGTGTGCGGCCATTGAGCCAGCCACTCCAAGAGGTCTGCGACCCAACTGGCGGCTGAAGCGGCCACTCATGCCTGCCCATGTCATGAACTTGTCTAGCACCCTGATTCGGAGTCACAGCCATGTGCCCAACATGGTAGTCGTGCTGCTCAGCCAGCCGAACAAATCGATTTTGGAATCCATGCGGACTATTCGTCCACTCCTGAAGTGCCGCTGCAGTTTCACTGCAGCTAAGTCACCACAGATTTAAGTCCGCCGTCAACTGTTCAATTCACCTGCCTGAGTTCCTTGCCGGACCTGCGCCACCCGGAGAGTGAATGTCCATGAGCAACATTCGCAAAACAGGAAACACGCAAATCACGCCCTTCCTGCATACGACTGCCATTGGACACGAACAGGCCCGCAAGGCCAACTGATAGGTCATCCAACGGGCTGCCCAAACGTGGAGAGGACAGGGCACGCGCCAAGTCCCTTCTCGTGACCAACCTCTTGACCAATGGGTGAAACATGATTTACCAGGCTAGATGTGTCTGACAATGCTACATAGAGACGTTTAAACAAAACACAACTGAATACACACACACACACACAAACCTGCTCCATCAAAAAAAACAGCAAGCGGCGCACGGTAAAGGGATTGTACTACAATGGCATTGCATGCCAACCGGCGCTGGTGCCTAGTGGGGTCAACAAACAAGGAATGCGCACCCCAAACAAATCACAATCTGACAATCTGGTGTCAACGCCTTTCCTGTGGCCCCAAAAAAACATCAACAGTTCATTGCCAGAAGCTTCGAACAATGGCATGGCGATCCTGCAATGGAGGCACAGCTTTGCAAGCAAGCAAGTTGCTCCTCAATCGGCCTAATTTGGTCTACCAAACGTAATTTAGCGACAAGTGCGCTGCACAAGCCCACTACTTTGGCCCCCAATTGCAACGTTGCCGTTGCTGTCTGCCTCTCTTTCCCATTTGCTCTCCCTTTGCCCATCCCTTCTTCGCCGAACGCAGGCCTACTCCGTGTCCGCAGCCAAGAAGCTGGCTTGGAAGGACACTTCCTGCCCGAATCAAGCTTTACCAACACTGCCTGCCCGAATCAAGTGTTACCAAACCTCCATGGTAAACATGCAACCTGGTTAATCGACTGCACGGTAGTTCGCCATTCGTCCGAGTCGTAGGAATATATGCTTGGCGCAGCCCAGGGCTGCCGCCGGTTCCATGGTCTCTCCAAATAGCATCCGCAGTCGAAGGTTCTCTGCTGTGTGCGAAACAGAGTGGTGTCTGTCTCTGGCACGGTTGATTCTACTAATTATACTCACACATGCTGCAGGCGAATGCACGGCAAACAACTTCACGTCAAGTTCTGAGACCGGGCGTGACTGCTGCAGGTCAGGAAAAGCTCTGGATGGAATCCCCTCCTCGGTGTGAAAGTGGAAGGACTCTGACAGGGACGGCGGTTCCTTGGACAGCCAGGATCTGTCATACCGGTTTCCATGCGCTTCTCAGCCCTCCCTCGATGCGACGAGCAGCGCCAGCTTGGCAGAAGCCCATATCGCTGGCATTTAGCCTCGGCCAAGGAGCAGTGCTGAAAACCACCCCTTTTGGGTGTCAAACAATCCAAGCCAACCCTTTGCCCAGCCAACTGTCAACACAAGGATCGTCAGTTCCGTGCTCTCAAAGATCTGGCTTGTACCCATCTCCGCTTTGTCAGCAAAGCCCAGAAAACCGGGTTGGCGACCGCGCTTGCTTCGCCAACGGCACAGTCGCGGAGAACTGCATGCAAGGACGCTGCGCCATCAGGACATGCCGCGTGAAACAGGTTATGCGCTCAACAACCGCCTGAGGTTCTCAAAGTTTTGTCATGGGCGGTGGAAGCCCATCTGTTTGCCCTTCACTTCAATGATTCCATTGAGCCAGCTGGGGCATGCGCCCCATATCCTCGAGGTCCTCCTGGGAGGAGTAGGCCTCAGCATAGCCAGGCCAAGCAGCAACGGCCACGTCCACATGATGGAATGATTAGAGCTTGGTACGCAAAGCAGCGCTTTGGACCACAAGCACTTGGGCAAACAGATCCATAGAGCCTCAAAAACTCCTTGACCTCCAATCCGCCCAATCCCCAGGTCAGCTCGCGCCCTCCCCACTTCTATCCCAGCTTCGATTGCGTGGTCCTGCGATGCCAGATGCTTGCAGTTCCTCGGGAGGCCGTGCAAGATCAGCGGGGCGGCAAACCCAAACACAGGAATGACACGGGCAAGATTCTTCAAGAAGGAAGCAGCCCGCATGCATCATCCCCTAACCTCTGACAGAGACAGCAAGTACTTCAACGCATCGTAATGCTTGTCATGCAAATGTGCAAGGGTGAACTGGGCCGTGACACTTGTCTTCCCTTTGGCCATCGGTCGAAAACTTGAAACTTGCAAGCCGGACAATTCCAACGTCAAGCATCTGCAAAAAGCAAGTGCGAGTGGTGAGCCAGAGGTCGGCCGGTAATGTTGACTTGAGGCATATGTCGACTCCATAGTTGGCTGGGGCTGGTTTTTCCTCAGGCTGATTTTCCGCAGGCTGGCAACATCCCTATCACCAGCATCACTTGGACCTGGGGCCGCCTATTGAATCGATATTCTATTTTCAAACTGTTCAGGCAGAACATCTAGACTAAACGTGCATGCAACAAAGGTCACAGTATCACGGGGGCATGGCAACAGCATGGCTGCCAAGAGTTCGAAGTTGAACTCAATTTCGGGCCGACTTTTCGCTTTTGGCACGAGTGCGCCAGAAAAGGCCGAGCTGTACATCAGCTGAGCAGTTGGCTGGGTTCTGAAAAAGAAAACAAGCAAAAAACAATGAGCCAATGATTCTAGATCAAGAAAAACACGGGACACCACGTGGCTCATCAGTTTGCCCAGGCCTCTTGTCAGCTGCAGGCCCAGTGAAAATCGACTGCTGGCTGCCGTCCTAGGTTAGGGATAATTCCAAACAGCCTGCCACAATCAATGCAATTCCCAAGGGGATATCACAGGTAGGTCGTTTGCCCGCAGTCTTCCCACATCGTGCTTAGCCTCGAGCCATAACACATGTGCTGCATGTGCTGTTCAACGCGGTGCGCAGCTCACTGCTACCTGGCGTGTTTTGTCTTCAAGTTCTTGTAGCCTCCTTTGCTCTTGTGCGCGAACATCTTGGCAGGCTTGCTTTTCTTGGGCTCCTCACCCGAGAGACGCAAATTATCCCGCTCACAACGAAGCACTGGATGCAACGATTTCCCGTCAGTAAGAGGGGAGAGGGGGTGGGTGCGGGGTCCGCATTGTCACCGCTGCATTGTCGAGGCGGCGCCATACGTCGCAACATGTGCCAATTTGACCCCTAGTATGTTTGACATGATTTCTGGCAGCGCCTCCGCTGGCGGCCGACATTGGAGCTAGGGGCCAACCCACCCGGAGATTGCAAGACGATAAAGCTGGTGGTAACAAGCACGTGCCGCTTTGTCCGACGCCAGCACTTACTGGATCAAGCTGAAGTGGCGGGGTTGCAGCTATTTTGATGTTTGACTTCCATGGCCGGCTGTCGACAGATCCGGTTCATCCTGGTTATGCGCAGCCTCCTCCTCTTCGGGCCCTTGCCCTTGAGTTCTTGCGAGCCACCACGTCAACTCTGACTCTGTAGGTCTAACGTGAGTAAGCAGGAAGCAGGCCACACTCTGGAGTGAACATATGGAGGCTGAGGATGCTGAGATCCCCGCCAATCCGGCACGCTGAGGGTGCGGCTGACCCAGACCTCTCAACCTTCCTGGTATCTACCCCCGGGGCAGGTCTCCTTGCAGGCGCCAATTGCATCATTTTTTAAATGTGGGCAGCCTTTTGCCGTGGGAGCCTAGGCTGTGCAAATCGCAACTTGTCAGTGTTGTCAGTACACGTGCAGTACACGTGCAGTACACGAAGCGTACTTTGAGCTCGAGCTCAATCATCGCAGTTTCAGTACAAGTGCAGCGCACAAAGTCCACATTGGCAAACGCAGCGGAAGGGCCTACAAAAAAAAGGCCGCGTCCTGAAGGACCCCTAGTTGGATCTTGGACGACATGCCAACGCGAGGCGGACGCAAAATCTGCCTGACCTCTTATTTGGAAACCGCGCTTGTTGGACACACGGGGCGTCCCTCCCTGTCACTCTACTTAGCAAGGGTTCGCAACACGAACCTACGTCGTTACGTGACATGCTTACGCTAAGCAACATGTCATCATGTAATCAATGTCGAAACGAAGATGTGGCGCTTCTTCCCTAAACAAACGCTGCCCATGGCTCGCGCTTGCTTTTTCAATCGGAAGGGTGCAACTGTTGCAGAGCGTTTGCATTCCCTCCAAGTAAGCCCCCGACAAAATATGGGAGTGGCCCAAACGAATCATGCCTCAAAGCCAGTTCCCACACCAGCGACAAACCGAAATCAAAGGCAAAGACTCTGGAGAGTCCTCGGGCATTGAACATGCAAGCTTTCGGCACATGTCAAACGGATGCGTGTTGCAAGCCCTGCTTGGCTTTGGCAAATGGCCGGGGCGTATGTTTGACTTGCCACCTTATGTGGGGAAGTGGTCCTGCCCCAAAATCCACAAAAACACCGGCAACCCCCCTTCATGCCCTCCTTCAGCACCTTCTCTACGAAGAGTGGCTGCGTGGCCAGGTGCAAAACATTGGTGCCCGCCCTTGACCGCCCAGCTCCTGGAAGCAAGAAAACACTCACAGCCCAGCCCTTTCAGCAAAGACTTAGACTTGCAGCACAGAAACTTGCATAAGCATGCAAAGCGGCGTCATGTCACGGCGATCAAATACATTCAATGCTGCAACAACTTGCGCAGAGCTTGGATTAACTACCTTGACACCCTCAACGTTGCAAGCTCAGGGTACAGCACCTGAGTTACTTGATGTCGGCGCAAGGTAGCCATGTTCGACCTTGTCTTACAAACATCCAGCGATTCCAGCGTCACTCTGGCACCCCAGCCAAATGAAATGGCTTGTTAACTTCTGTCTACGCAGTGTCTTCCCTTGAGGTGACTTCAAACACGAGCGCTGGTTAATGGTTGTGTTTTTTTCTTGCTTGTCGAACTTTAACTTTCTTTTTCCTCCTTCTCTCTTGCTCTTGCCCTCCCTCTATATTCTGATCCTTCTCTTCTCTGTCCTTTTCTCTTGCTCTTCCCTTTCTCCTTGTCTGCGCCTTCCTTGCTCTTTCTCATTCTCCTTCTCTTGCTCTTTTTTCTGCCTTTTCTCTTTGGGCATGTGAAAGACTTCAGCTTCTCCCCCATTCTATTCAGTTCCAGATTTGGCAGTTCTAGATTTTGGTCCAGCCTCCGAGTCTGAACATTGTCACGGGCAGCGTATTTACATTCTCGCAGAGCAGCAGGAGTAGCAGCAGGCTATTAGCTCCAGTGCCACGAAACTTCTTGTTCGACTTTCCTTGACAAGCGTGCAGGAATATACTACTCTTTGTCTTGGACACAAAGACCCACAGACCCACGCACGCACGCGCGCACACGCGCACACACTAACACACAAACACAGACACACACACGCACACACACAGAGACACACACACAGAGACACACACACACAGACACCCACAGACAAAAACACACACACACACACACAGACACACAAACAGACACAGAGACACACACACACACACGCACACGCACACACACACACACACAGCACACGGAAACACAACACACACACAACACATACACACCACACACACACCACACAAGCACACACCACACACTCACACATACACACTATACACACCACACACACACACACCACACACACACACCACACACAGACACCGCACACAAACACCGCACACACACGCAGACACAGACATCACACACACAGACACACGCTCCGCGCGCACCCACCCACACGCTCACACCCAAGCACGCCTACAAGCCCGGTTGCACAAGCACGTGCAGACACACACACACACCCCACACACACACACCACACACACACACACGCACAGAGACACCACACAAACACACACACACACACCCACACGCTCACACCCAGGCACGCACACAAGCGCGGTTGCACAAGCACATGCACACACACACACACAAACACACACAAACACACACACAGACACACACACAAACAAACACACACACAGAAACACACACACACAGACACACACACACACACAGACACACACACAGAGACACACACACACACAGACACCCACAGACAAAAACACACACACACAGACACACAAACAGACACACACACACACAGAAACACACACACACACACACAGAAACACACACACACACACACCCACGCACGCACGCACGCACGCACCCACCCACGCACGCACGCACGCACACACGCACCCACACACACACACACCACACACACACACACATTCACACATGCACACATGCACACATGCACACATGCACACATGCACACATGCACACACACACACACATTTCTAGGGCGTGCGTGTAATGGTGTGTGTTCGCATTGCCTGGGCAAGGTCTGAGCTCTGGCACTCCTGCGAAGCTGGCGATGGCCAGGCACCCGGCGCCCAACGCCAGGCTTTGGCCCAGGCCGCTAACTTCTATTCGGGCCACCTGTGAAGGTAAAGGAATGCCGGACATACTTGGATCCCTCTCTGTGGGTTTTTGGGCCAAAAGATCCCGCAAAATGGTTGGTGCCCTTTTGGCTTCCCTATTTTCCAAAAGAACCAACATGAAACCAAGCATGGATCCTTGACGAGCCAATCTGTGCTTGAGATTGCAAAGCATGGGGCGTTTGGGGTTGGGACAATGCACACATGCCTCCCTTCACTTGGCACAGCACCCCGCTGACCAATGTGCTTCCTAAACTGCCAGTTTTGTTCCCACATGCCTCTGCTTTCGATGATCCCTGCCACAGCACCACCGTCAGGTTGGGATGCGTCAGGTTGGCATGCAGCGACGCACCTTGCGTCGAATGGGCAGGATATATCGATGCGTCATGTTCCAACATGTCGGGTATTGTGGTATCACGTGCCCTTGCTTGACAATAAAGCTTGTGGAATGGATGCGTGACAAGCGGCTGGGTTTTCAACACGTGTGGGTTTGGTAGGAATTAGGTGGCTCTCAGATCATCCATTTGTCATGGCAAGTCAAGCTCAAAGCGTGTACATTGCTTGCTGAGGCGCAAATGTCGCCATACGCGCAAAGGTCCACCACTTTGCCGACATTGCTTGCCCGAAATGCCTGGGTTTCACCGTCCTCAGTCCGGATGGATCGAGCCTTGGCTTTTCCCCACCGCCCCCTGGACTGGAAGTGTTCGTCGAACATTCGGACTTGGACACCTGGTGGGCATCTCCGTGTCTGGAAGTGGCCATTGCTCTTTTATTGCTCTGGCAGCCTCAGGCTGCTTCTCAAATGACATCAGCTGTATTTAGCTCGCAACCCGAACATCTGCCAGGCTCTGACAAGAATTGGCGCCACTTGAGAAACACCATTGCCACAAAGCTGCTGCAAGTAACAAGTTAACCTCCACACTGTGGTGTTCCTGGAAAGCTGCAGGAACACTGCAAGCTACAGTTGCTGCCGAAGGATCAGGCCTCAGCTCCTCGCCATTCAGCGACCACCTTTGGCCGACGCAGAAGGCTACTGGAGTTACTGGGGTCTGGTTGGGAGAACGTCAACACAAGAGAACTTGGTTGTGACTGTCTAACAGGAACCATGGAAGCATGATATGCCGACTTTGGCCGGTTCGCCGCTGGCTCGTTTTGCCCAAGGCGCCACTGTAGGCGGCAACAGGCAGTGGTAGCAATGACCAGCTTGTCGTTCAAGCTGCAGGAATGGCAAATGCCTGAAACAAACCAAGCGGCTGGCCACAACCGAAACCTGCGCAAGGTAGACGCACGGCAGCGGACCTTCGGCCTTCATCCACATCGGAACCCCGAACAGCTGCCGCACGCCTTGCCCGCTCCACCGGCTCTGCGCCACAGCTTTCAGTCCGCCGGGCGACCAGGTCCACAGGTGGTGAGGGCCCGCGCTCACCAGCACCTATGCGCGCGCTCGAAGGCCGCAGCTCGCCGGTGGCTCCTCTTTTTTGGTAAGGAACTTGACACTTTGTTTTTGGTTCCTCTGCTTAGTAGGGGCCTCCGGATCAAATCGCACTAGAGCAAAGCAATCATAGAGCCAGGCAAGGCAACCCGTATGTGGTACCAGTAGGACTGATGCAGCACTGCAGTCAACACCTGCAAGCGCGTGCGAACATACGTGGCAAGCTACAACTCCACCTTGTCTTTTCTATCTCCTTTTTATTCTCCTGGTCTCCCTTTCCTTCTCTGTCTCAAAGTATCCTGCTCTCTCTCTCTCTCTCTCTCTCTCTCCCTGCCTCTCTCTCTTTCTTTCTCTATATCTCTCTCGTCCTTCCTTCCTCACTGTGGCTTTCTACTGCTGGGCCTTTGTTTCGCAGCCTTTCACTCTGTGCCTCACTCCTCCGTGTCTCTAATCGCCAGGTTGCACGCTCCTCACCCACGGCAAAGGCGCAAAGAGCTGGCGCCATAGAAAAGGCGCCCAGTTCGGCCAGCAGCTGAATCCTGACAGGGAGCTTGAAAAGATGCGCAACCCGCAACGAGCTGTGCTTCGCCGTCTCCAACATGCTAGGCGTCCCTTGAGAAGTCCATTTTCTCGAATGCAGCTGGCTCATCTGACCACTGCCTACAATCATGTCTTCAGCGCCCTGCAGGTTGCCAAGTTGGCCATCACATCTTCATTGACCGGCGTGTGAACAAATACGTGCCCCGTCGGTTCGCTAGTTAGTTGCGGGGTTGTTAACCAGGCTGTCCTGGAATCTTCGTCGGACACCTGTCAGGCGCGACCAACAGCAACTTGGCTTTTCCTGGGGATTTTTCTTTGGTGACAGCTTGCAAGACAGCTGCAAACACCTGCCAAGGAACCGCAACAACAAACGCGATTATCTGACCAATTTTTACTGTCAATCGGAATAACTTTGTGCTGCCGCGACAAAGCCAACAACGAGTCTCGCATGGCTACAGTTGCCATGGGAGGCGGTCCGGTTTCTGACGATTTCGAGATCAGCGAGTTGGTCGCCACTCACTCACTGGCTTTGACACGCTGCCTGGATAAGTTCCAGGCTGCCATCCATGCTGGCACATAGGTACGCCTAGCGAGCAAGGTACAAACCATCTGCACGGGTAAACTAAAATGAGGAATCCCCAAACTGCTCCCTATCTGACATACACTCTCTGTGTAGGGAAAAAAGCACGTACGACACACTGAGCGACTGGAGTGCCACGCGAGTCGCAACGCAAACGTGACAGGCCTTGCGTAACTCGCTCCACATGTCGACCACGGGACTGTGTCAAAATCCGACCGCAATCATGGTACCCACCTCTTGGTTGGCCTTCAGCGCCGCGAGCGCACAAATAGCAGATTTGCCGCTGGAACGGAGCTGCTTTGTCTCCTCAGAAAGCTAACACAAATGCAAGCTGTTGGATTTGCTACACTGGATGCCAGCCTAAGAAACCAATCTCTAGTGATATGGGACAACAAGGGCTCGTCCCTGGTTCTGGGGAAATTTAGAGCTCGTTGCCGCCGTATCCTTCCCGACTGACCTCATGTTCGGTGCCTTTTGTGGGTTGGCGTACGCCTCTTGCCGCCGTTTCAACTGCCAGGTGTCGCTAAGATCATCCCGCTGCACCAAGTGAACTCCCCCATGATCATCGCCTAGGATAAAGGCCTCAGCGGCGCTGAAACCCCGCCCCTTCCCCAACCCCCTCCACCTGGTTTTCACCAAACCTGAATGAGGCCCTAATTAACAAGGTCTTGGTTAGAGGAGACCAGGTGAAGGGGGTTGGGGGCTGGATCCTATGAAGAAGAAACCTAAGTCCTGCTTGGGAACAATCGGCAAAATGCCGAATCATACTGCTTTGTCCAAGCTTTAGCCAAACAAGGAGCGATGGGGCTCGACTTACAATCACGCGGGTTCTCCGGCAAAGCTGGCCCGCCTGGCTGTTATTGAGATTTGCTACGTAAAGTGAGGCCCTGCCAGGATCTGCAAAGGAAGCCGAAATGATCTTTCCTTCCCGGGGCCCCCAATGCTGATTACCTGAGATATTTCACGGCCTTGAAACACGCTTGGCAATCCCTTCCCTGAGAGCAAGTTGCTCTGAACGACAGACGTTAAAAAACTCAGATGCCCAGTGGCCACTGGAAAAAAGGGCATCCTGTGGCAGCCTGTTTTTGTTTGTTTGTTGACTTTGAAGCGACACCCTTCCCCCAAACAAAGGGAAACCACTGGGCAACTGCCAAAGAAAACACGTGTCGATCCTTCCCATTTCCGCAGGTTCATTGCCCCTGGCCTGGAACAAAACTCCATCCCATTCCGAGGAGTCAACTCACGTGAGAGATGTCGCCAAGGTCTGTTCCAAAAGCTCAAGGACTCAAGCACCAAAAGACAGAGAACCACCTTGAAGGTATGGGTGGGGGGAGGTTGAGGGCAGACCCCACACACCCCGGATTCCGGGCCTTGCCCAGCGTGGCCGCCTGAAGAAGGCGGCCCTTGCTAAGGCGGGGTGAGCTGGCCAGCAGCTGACCTGGTCATCCAGCCACAGAGGGTGAAAGCTGGTGGAACATGTTATTTTGTGTGGGCAAGTAAGGGAAAAACTAAGTTGCGCCATTAGCCAGAATCTATGAAATATAATGCAATGTTCATTCAGCGTAACGTGGCCAAAGCACGCGCCCCTGGAATAGACTTAAATTCGGAGGATGGCCAGACATAGGCATCGCCCCAGCTGCAATAGAGCCATCAAGCCATCAACAGAATGATACCTTTTGGAGTCAGGAAGTCTCCCGGCATTCCCGCTTCACTATCGCACGATTGTTGCGCCTGGTTGTCCGGCCATGTCCGGCCTCCAACTTACGTTTTTCATGCTATGCTTGAGTTTCCGGCCCTACAAGATCACACCACAGGTTTAGAGCTTCATGGCCCAGGTCCAACAGCTCTGCTCTGCCTGAATCTGACATCTGACCGGCGCCACGAATTTGTGTAAGGCGTCTACAGTCGGGAGTTGGCCAAGCGTCATGAACGGCCATTCAACTGTCCGCCAACCAGCTGGAACTGTTCTTGCTCAATACCCCGCAGTGTGAAATTCCAGTATTGTTTGTCATGATGATACGCAGTACATCGAGTCGCTACCTCTCATGTATTAATACCAATGGTGATAATCCTCATCAGCATCATCATCTCCATTCATCATCCTCTCCATCCTCCTCCTCGTTCTCATCCTCATCCTCATAGTCATCATCATTATCATCATCATCATCATCATCATCTGACCCTCCCCGGTTGCTTCACGCCCTAGCAAAGCCCGGAAGCACACTACATAAGCATAGTCGTGGGTATGTCACCCGCAAAAGCTGGAGTACTTAGTTGCTGGCTGCCTGCCGCGCTTCAGTCAAAGAGAGCGCAGGGGTCCTTGCATGTCCCCCTCCAAAGCAACCTTGTCCCAAAAAAAAGTGGAACCGAATTCGCCACATGCTGAACTAACCACACAAAAGGCAAAGTACGACATCCGGAACAGGAATTAGTTCACAATTAGTCTGATGGCGTGTCAGCAGCCTTCATATCGGTCTCCCGCCCAAATAGATCCAGTGGCCTGTGCTGCTTCGGTGACAGCGGATCTCCCCGCTTTGGAGAACTGCGAACACCACGGCCTCGTCCTACGGGAGAAACCCATGGCCAGCCCAAAGACTTACATAGCAGCCGACCAAATGGTACTCAGTACTCTCGCAAACCTTGCAAAAAGCAACAGGGCATTTTAGGAGGAAACAGGCTGGTAAAAAAAACATGGTACTTTTGGTTTTTTTTGCTGTCTGCTCTTGGGCTATGATGTGTCGAGTTGCAGTTGTGAGCGAGGGAGCGGGGGCGGGTGGGGGAGGGGGTAGGGGAGGGGGTGGGGGAGGGGGTGTGGGGGACGTGTGCGGGAGGGGGTGGGGAGGTGGGGGGGGGGAGGATATTACCGTCGTTCACACACATGTCAGTGCACACAGGTTGATGCATGGCCAATGTTGGTTGCAGATGCTGGCAGAAAGCGTCTGGAGAGCCACCAATGTCCATCCCAGCAAAGATGAGCTTGCTAGAAGAGCCTCTGTGACGAGAGCACGCAAACGACAGCATAGTGGGGCCTTAATGTATGCACAGAGGGTGGCAATCATTGCAAGTGTAGATTCAACCTAGCTTGACTCTAATGCGGTTCGCTACACGCGCAGCTTGTTTGGAGGCATCGAAGGAGATCAGCCGTGATCGTTGGCTGCAGCTTGCTGGTTCAGATTTTCGGGCAATTGAACTGCAACTATGCAAACAACATTGGGTTTTTGACCATTTATGTATGAAAGCAATGCTGTCCTAATTCTCCCGTTCTCTGCCAAGCATGAGCCAAAGATGACAAATTGCAGAAAAGCCAGGGAAAACACGAGTGACGCAGCTTTCGCCTCCAGGCTTTTTAACAGCCTGTGACCTAGGAACAAAGGTTCATGTTCGCCATCCTTAACCGGCCTCTGTGACAGTGTTTGCCGACTGCAATCCTTGCCTCAGTCTGGAGAATACCTCACACTCGTTCTTAGATGTTCTTCGCCATTCAGCAACCCACGAACTACAGCCCCATCAAATCAGCCAATCAGAAAGTAACACTATATATTGTACTACAAGGCATGTCCAATGTCTCGCAAAGTTGCCGGCATGGCAGTCCAGCAGCACAGCCAAGCAGGGCGCTGGCTGCGGCACTTGCGCCACAGGAGAGCCTGACTGGCCGGCTGACCATTTAACTATATTCTCACGCTGCTTTCGTTCCCTTTCCTAACTTCTCACCTCACCATCCAGCCCTGTACTCGGTCACAACTTCAAGTCGCCATGCGCAGTGTCAGCTGCCTCATATGAACATAATAGCCAGCCTTGCTAGTGGAGTCTACAGTTTGATTGCCCACCCCGAATTGCGGCATGAGCTCTCACTGCGCTCCTGCAAACCTGCCCGGGCCTCATCTTGGGACAAATATGCTGAACCCCAACATGTACGACCGAACTGAATTGCGAATCTCCTGCTCTGTGTCCCTGGCACTGGTAGTCGGATTTCGTGCTGAATGCTTGTGCGGACAGCAGCAATCTCCTGCCAGGAAATTCACACTCTACAGCCGGGCGGGCTAGGCGCATCAACTTTTTTGAAATGTGTTACGTGCCCATGGGGCAAGGTCGATGCGACCGGGTCACAACAGGGTCACATCACCTCCATGTTTAGCTTGCGTTTAACCAATTGAACCATGCTGCAACACTGATGCCAGGAATCACAAATTACACTGGCTCGCTTGCTTTGAGAGGAGCTTGTGCCATCTAGTTCGCACGCTACAGTCACAGGTTTTAGTCACTGCAGTTTCTTGGAACGTTGCGCCTATTGGGGAAGAACATCGCAGCGACTAAAGTTCCTGACTGCAGCTACCGACAGGATCAGGATCAAGTAGATGGCCCTGGTAAACTGGAACAACGCCAATCTAAACCAGTGCCATCTATACTCAAACTAACCTAGAAAGAACACCTATGTTCATGGGTCCTGGACCATCCCCCCGTGAAGACCATCCCGCCTATCAAACCGCGATATTGCAAATGGCTCCACTGAAAGGACGATGGCTCCACGAACGACTAGATGCATGCCAGAGGCACAAATAGATCAATATAGCTTGAAAATATAGCTCGACCTCGCTCACAACGTTTGCTCCGGGTGGCTAAGGGCCACAGCGAAGGCATGGATTTACGGAAACACCCAGATCTGCAAAAACAGCTCCTGGAGTGCGCATGGTAGCACCAAGCCAAATGCCAGGCCCCATCAAACATCAATCCATTTGTAAAATATCGGCTGCGTTCATGCTTGCCATGTTGTCTGCCGCCCAAGTCCCTCGGAGAATGTGGTAGACATCGGACGTTGTTGGCTGGGTGGCTAGCACGCAATGAAACCAAACACGTGACTGCACGGAAAATTTCAGTGGCTGCTTGAAGCCTCTTAACGCCACAAATGCACTGTCAAGTTGATCATGCACCCTTGCCTCCTCGAGGCATCGAGGTCCAATTGTACATAGTCTTGCATCGATGCCAATGAATAGCAAATGAGTTAATGGACTAATAATATATCTACACATAAATAAATACAAAACAACAACTTTACATATCATTAAGACCCCATGCTTTCATTTGGCAACCGCCCCATGACACATCGGCCCCCCCGATCCCCGAGTCCTGGCCAGCATGACCTCACTAAGTTCCCGAGCGGAGCAGTCCGGAAATTCGGCTCCTGCACTGAAAAAGCAGTGGCTTCTCCGAGTTCAAGGCCTTCCGTCCGGCAGGGGACGGTGCGCACAGTCTGACAGCACCGTCCTGTAGCTTCCTGGTAGGTCAGCTCTCGCATCTTCTGCGAGATTTCACGTTGGTGCCAGTCCTGGCGAGATTCATGTCATGGAATGCCCGCTTGGCATGTCACGTGCAAACGCGCACTCGGTGTGCTGGTTCAAACTGGATGCGCGCCGTTTGGTAAAGCAAAGGCAACAAATTGAGAAGCACCCTCCCTCCACAAACATAGCACCTCTGCAAGGCTACCATGGCCGTTTCAACCATATGACGACCGAGAACCGTATCGAACCGTTGCCGCGCCGTATCGAACCGACAGCAGCGGAATCGTATCGCACCGAACCGAACAAAAGTTCTGGAAAACCAAAGCAATTCGATACTCCTCTCTCCTTCTTCCTTGCTCCACGCCATTTCAGTCACACCAGCCCAAAACAAAACCCAAGTGTTTCCGGCAGTCTTCCGTCGAGCTGCATTTGTTCGCGGTCTGTCTTCATTTCAAGAGGATAATTGATCACCATCTCACGCCAGGAGAACCTGGTGTAGCCCCCCCCTCTGCATATTAGAAGCTGGTTCAATTCTTGCTGGGCGTGCTTGCCTGCGCGAGAAAAATCTAACCTCATCGCAACAAGGAGCAATACTGGCAATGAATCGTACCGTTTCGCACCGAAACAGTTTCATTCCTAGACAATAGAATTGATTCGAACCGAAAGAAAATGAATCATATCGCTTCGAGCTCGTTACAACCATGGTTCCCTGGCACATCAGTCTCCTCTTGAAGGGTTAGATGCCAGATTGGCGGGCGAGAGGGTCGAACAAACATCTTTGTGCTGCCCATTGGCACCATGTGTGTACTCACACGCCACAGATATGTATATGCATATAATTACACTTGGTAAGGGTGATCAAAATGATGAAGCTATTCTTGAACGTTGGCTTGTCTCACTAAGGCACTAAGAGAGGCCCTGCTTCGGTTGTTGATTTGAGGGACCGTACCCTGTCGGGTGGAAACAGCGGAAATATATATATATATATACACATTTATACATACCCAACCTCTTCAAGTATCACACCACAAGCAAACTCACTCTGGCATTGAATGAGTAGGCTGTGGCAATAGTCGGCTTGGTTGTAGTGGAGCCCAGTACGGGAGACAACTGCCTCTGTCAGAAAATTCACTCCGAACCTCTCCTGGGCCGTTGGGCTGAGTTGGTTGGTTTGGCAGATTGTGAATGCATCGAGGCAAATAACCCGGTCGCTCCATACGCAGCAAGAAAACACCTCACCCCTGTTGAAAGCCAGTTGAAAGCACCCCCCAGTTCCCTGTGCGAGCAATTGCTCAACCGGCAGCTCCACTCGCAGTTTGTGTTGTTCCGCTGAAAGATCCCAAACTGCGGCCAGCATTCGCGGCCAAGCGTGGCAGACTCCGGAAAGAATATGGATTCAAAGGCACTCAAAGGCAAGCGGAGCTTGCCTTTGATTTACTCTTCAAAGGAACTTTGAATGATCGGAAGGTGCAGTGCCTCGGCAAAGCTGCCTTGCCAAATCTCCGAATGTGTGGCAGGTTGCTTCGTCTTCTGGCTTCGATCGCAAGCCAGTCTAGACGAACTCCGGATCAGAATGCTTCGGACAGGGCATTCTTGAGCGCGATAATCACTGAAACAACCAAACCACTGGATGAATTGCCACTGGCTCACACTACCCGGCCATTCCCAGCCAGGCGTGCGCCATCAAATCATCGCGCGGAGTGGCAAGGGTAACCTGCACGCATTCTAGCACTCTAATTAGCAGTCCCAGTTTGTCGCTTCTCTATTTCAGACCCAACACAGCACTTTGCACAGCGTGTTGAGTGACATGAGTACTCAAACAGGGACCTCTTTAAACTTTGCTCGGCCCAAATCCCACTCTCAAGCCGTTGCTTTGGTGGATCCCAATCAAGTGGCTACTGTCACCTGGCGGCGTCGAAAAGCTCTACCTACAATGGATGAGCTGAGATTCTTTCTTCAACCCTCTTCGCCGATCAGGGACGCTCATAACCTGCTTCGCCGTTGCCAAATGGCCAAATTTATCATGTATCGGCCTGTTGGCCTGAATCAGGCAGCAGCGCCGTGCTCGTCAAGCAACAACCGGAAACAAAGCAAATAAAGCAGCAACACGATGCAACTAACCTATAATCAGGACTCGTCAACGTGTCAGCAAACTATCGCAATCTACACTATAAGCTGGCATCAACATCCCCTTCGAAATGTTCACCCACAGAGAACATGATCCTTCGCGACATATGACATATGGACCTTGAACCCCGCTACAACTTGCTACGAGACATCCAGGCAGAAGCAGTTGCTATCAAATGAGTATAGCATGGAGATCAGTAAGCATCAAAGAGAAATTGAAAAGGGCTCTGATGCTGAGCTCCTGAAAAGAATCGAATTCCTGGTTCCTAGGTTCAAGCATTGCCAAAGCGTTCCCTGCATCTTCATAACAGTGCCGTCACTAATTTCACTGTGTGTTATGTTGTTGGAGAAAAGCGGCGTTGTGCTAGTTCCAACCATGTGGTTAAGAAAGGGGCGCAGTAAACCCAGGAACGAAGCCCTCAACAAGCCTTTCGTTTTCCCATTTCCTTCTGCATTGCACCGAAATGGTCTAAATGCCTGCGCCTTGATCAGAAACTCTTGTTAAGAGCCAGCGCTGCTGCCTGGAGCATTTATCGTGTCGCGCCTATTCGCGCGCATGTACCTCCAGCTCTTGCCGGGACACAAACAGGCTGAAGACCTAATCATGGCGGCTTCCATTCGAGAAAGTTGAGGTTAACTTTTGTTCTGGCCAAGCCGCATTGCCAGTGTGGCGTCAAAGTATTACAAAGCTTGCCAGGGACACTTTCAGTAATACATAGTTTGCCAAAGCGGCGATTGCAGGCTCGCAAAAACCAGGTGCATCTACGAGCGATCCATATGGGGGTCTCGCACCTACCCCCATAGCTTGCCACAGTTGGCACAAGCCCTGGGGTTCAAACCACCATAACAATGGCGGGTCAACCATTCTTTTAATGGGGGTTGGCGGTTGCACTTTCTCGAACCGGAGGCAGCCTTTGAGGCGCTGTCCCCTGCTCGCATTCAAACACCCAAATGTCCTCTCGCAAGCGATGTCCTGTACAAAGGCATCTGACAAAAAGGAGAAAGTTCCCTCCAATGTCGCAGGCCAAGCACGCATTTGGAAGCAAACAGAATACGCATTTGGGTTCTGGATGGGAGCCGCTCTTGCAGCCTGGTTTCAGCTCCGAGCTGCACAAGCAACCCACTTAGGCTCGAAACCTTGACAGGAAAATGAGGCTTGGCTCTGCAAACGTCTCAGCGGAGTTCCCTGCTACATCTGGAGACTAGAAGTGAAAAACACCGAGCTGAAATGCGATGGTGCTCACGATGGCAATGCTGAAGTAAACGAATTTTTGCAGCACTCCCAAGGTGACGCGGGTGTCCCACATAAAGAAGCCAGATTCGCAGATCAGCAGGAAGTGCGCCAAGTTTATGTACTGTTCCTCCTCAGGTACACATGTTCTCATATTCAACACTTTAGTTGACAGGCAAGGGTAAAAGAAGTCTTCTTTGCGAGCTCCAAGCGCGAGTGACGACCTTTGCTACCAACTGCCGTTGTAGCCGTGTGCTTCTACCCTGCTTCTTTTGTGGCACGACGTCTCTGTACCACTCTGTCACAAACAAACTGTCAAAGAACCAGGATAGTCCGCTTGTTTTCTGTTTGCAAGGGATCATCAGATTTACCATGACATCACCAACTGATACACGCCACGTCGAGACATATCTGCGTTAATCTGCATTGGGGATCCTCTCTCTTGACATCATCTTCGTGGTGATGTGAAAGTGTGCCAACGTTTTCTAAGCTCTGACGCATTGCCAACCCCTGGGAACCCAGGCGTGCCTGTCAAGGCGTGCCGTTCTTGAAAGCTGCCCAAACCATGCTGTCACAAACCATGCAGTCTGTCTGTGGGCTCTACACTCTAGGTCTCAGAAGCTCTGTTCCCAACAGACCTCTCAAGACACCTCAAGCCCACACGTGCCCCTGATCAATCCCCAATCTCACAGCCGCGCCCCTCATGCACAGTGCATCTAGGGGCTTCTTCTTCGTCTCCATCCAGCATGCTGATCAGCGACGGCAGGCGCGTGCAGTGCGCTGTTGCCGATGCCGCCACATAGGGCGAAAACAGCAGCGCCGCCGCCAACACAAGGCTGGGAGCGGCCTCTTTCGCCTGACGGGGGGGGTCTTCTCATTGCTTTTGATTTGCCATGCAATGCATGGTAAAGACTCATTTGCATCCACAAACCCATTTATCGTGGTGCCTCCGAGGGGATGTCAACGTTTCAATTTCTCATGCCAGGCGGCTGGCGTTGGTCAGACACTACGCAAATAGTTCCTGATTGTCCTGATGGTTCTACAAGTCGGAACTACGTTCATGAAAACCACCAACGAGCCGTGTTGGGGCGAAACAATGCCCTGCGTGCCTATCAGCAGTTTCAAAATACGCTTTGGCAGTTTGCAATCCCCAGCCAGCATATAATGACCAAGTGACACAAACTTAGCCGACTGTCTTGGCAGTCTTGGCCAAATCCGTGAAGCGAAAACTGGCAGCATGACATGATTTGGCAATGGTTCTGCAAATTTTACTGTAGTTCCAAAAGCTGAATTAAGGGAACCCCAAATAAAGGGCCTTTATCATGGTGAGCTCGTTGTACCCCCAACCGAGCTCGCTATGAAATAGGCAGATAGCTCCATTGCCTTCGAATGCCAGCCACGTGCCACGCACCTGGCCCTGCCTGGCCCTGCTGAAAGTCGAAGAGCGCACCCATGAGAACAAGAACAATGGCGAAGAATATCATGGAAAAGCTGGACTGGTAGAGGCGAGAAGTGCAGCGCATGCAGCTGATCACCTGGTCCAAACTAAGTTGACCCAGTGCCGCAATGTCGACCCCCTATCCAACCCGGGAGGGGGTGTGCAAATAATGGTCAAGACTCATATCGCCTCGCAGCATTTGGAGAGTTCCCTTTTCGTGGTGGGCTCATAGGGAAACCAACAGGAAACCG